TTATATCGTCACTCTTTATTGATTTACAAAAGTATGAGCTCTATAAAAAAACTCGGTTCCATTATTCAAAATGTTACGAATCGTTACTTTTTTTATATATAAATACATAACATAAATATACACATAGTTTGTCTTGCCTCACTTGTTCTTAAGATATTGACATGGTTATTTCTCAGCAAACAATTTGAAATTCAACCGTAATGATCTTGATTACTGTTACGATTAAGTCGTAAGAATTGCATGTAAGTTATTAAATTATCAAAATGTCAGTTTTTTAATCTAGCGTCAGGTATCATTCTAATTTTATAAATTGCTTTTCTAAAGATTTTGTCTGTCTTTGACACAACATTCCGTTTCTTTCTTTCACTTTGCGTGACAACTATCTTTTAATTATAAATTTATTGCTTGAAATCTGTTCTCGTCGTCGAACGTAAAATGGACTTTAGCTGTTGTTCATTGCTCATCGAATGTTTTCTAATTTCTTTTTATCAGATTTTATATGACACGCAATTATACAATTTACTCTTAATATTTTTAATTTCACACTTATTAATCATATATATATAATATAGCTTTTACCTTGATGACAGTTTCTTATTTACATGTTCCTATTCTCTCTCAGTTTGAATTACGTTTAACTATTTTAACTTATATTTTCAATCTTACTTAATATTTTAATTTTACTTAATATTTCATTTACTTAAATTGAAAAAAAACATTTATATGTAGAAAAATTATTCAAAATTATTTATCCAATATCACAAACGATAAAATTTTGATACCAATTTATCAGAAAAATGAATTAAAAGATGACGGTTGATTTTGACAAATCCAACTTACTTCAGCTATTGGTTTACTTCTTATTGTCTTATACTGATTGGTTTATCCACTATTGTCTTATACTGATTTTGTTATTGGTAGGCTTAGTAAGTTTGCTGACGCTCAACCATTTGCGAACTACTATTGTCTATTGTTATTTATGTTTATGTTACTATAAATTATAACCATAATCTATTGTATCATATTTTATGCCTATTACTCTGTTAACATGTAGTCTTTTTCATAAACGTTTGCACGTTTGTAAATTAAATTAGGTTAAATTAAATTAAATTATGTTATTAAAAAACTGTGCTTTCTTACGATTTTAGGTAGGTAAACTTGAAAATATACATGTCCAAAAAAATTTAGACCGTTAGAAATACGAAAAGAATTTAGGGAACATTACAATAAAGTCAACTAAGAAATACAATTGACGAGTTTAAAAGTCCTATCTGAAAAATAAGAAAATACTCTATCAATCTCAAGTTCCGTAATATTTGAATCAAGAGTTAAAAATAATGAATAACAAAAAATATGTATCCCAACATGCGGTAGGATTTATGTAGGTCATAATTAATAATTTTAGAGTTTTAGATATTTTTATATTATTCCAACAATTCCGTCTAATGTTACCATATTCGCATTTGTTTTTTAACAATCATCTTCAATTATATTAAAGATAAGCACATTCTCTCTTCACAAGCTTTGAAACATATAATAGTGAGGTACATACTAAAGATAAACCTTACAAATGCGGAACGTGTGGCAAGACATTTCAGTGCAAACAGGATTTACTTCGTCATTTGATAATTCATACAGGTGAAAAACCTTATAAATGCGAATTTTGTGAAAAAGGATTTACGTGAGTAGAAAAATTATAGAAATATTAAATAATCATGTTAATTACATTAACAAATGATGAATACTTTGCAGTCGGAAATCATATCTAAACAGACACAAGAGGGAAATGCATTTCAGAGAACATAACGATTGTAACGTTTGTGAGAATGGTTTCGATAATGAACAGGATATAATTAATTATTTAGTCACCAAGCAATCTGACATCGAAGAAAGACCTTATAAATGTGAGACATGTTCAACTACATTTAAACCTTTAAAATAACTTAAAGCGCAAACAAAAATACATACAAACGAGAAACCATATGTTTGCGAGGTATGTGTTACAAAATTATTGTTATCACTTTTTCTAATTATTTCTCATTTAATTGTGGTTATTTTTATATTTTTGTTAATATAAATGTACTGTATTTTAGATTTGCAATATAGCGTTAGAACTTACTTTTAAAAGTAGCCTAAGACACAGATATACACATAGCGATAGAAAGCCGCATGATTGTTCGATATACATAACAAAAGCTTCACGCGAAAATCTCAACTTCTTGCACACATACAAAAGGAGGTCATTCATGATATAATGTTTAATTTATGAGCAGATTCACATTATCTTTCTATTTTTGACATTCATAATATATTATAATAAACTGTTGTAATGTACCACAATACATTTTATATATAAAAAATTTTTTTTTTTAGGTCGCATGAGTGATACCGTAGTAAAGGACTAACCGCGAATGACAACAGAATAGCCGATCAAATACAATTATGACTACTCTTAATAATAATGACGAATCGATAATGAAAGAAATTGAGGATAAAGATGTAATTTTTTTACGAGATATAATATATATATAGTATATATTGATGGGAGTTTTCCTATAAATACTATTTTTCTAGGAGATACAATAGAACACTGTCAGACATAGGATCACTGACGTGTAAAGTTCACAATGTGTGTTTAAAAGACAAAACCAACCATTAATTTTTTTAATAACTTTAATTATTTACGTATTTGTTGGATTTAAGATAGTACACTAGCGAATTAAAGAATTTCTTGAAATTGATATACATATTGTATTGTATTATACTAAAAGAAGTTGTTATACTTGTGCAATTGGAAAGAGATTGAGATTTCAGTACTGAGATGTAAGCAATTAAAGGTCGCACTTCTTCTTGTTAATAAAACACGATCAAGCAAAAGAACATATATATGAACATATATATGAACGTATATTATGAAAAAAATATCGTAATTTTTTAGTTTGGAAAATAGGTTCGTGAAAAGAATTTAATTTTAAATATTATTTTTCAATCTGAAATGTGAATCAAAGAAAAAATGCAATGAGTTATGTTAATCTATCTATATTGCTGATTTCGATTTTGATAAAAAAATAATTAATTTAAAATGGCGAATCTTATACGGCTAATTTTAAAATAGTGTCTAAAACACGTTTGTTTCTAGAGTTTCTTTAAGCTGATCATGACGATTCTAACATCAGAATTAAAAAATTCAAATTGCTTGATTATATGACAGATGTGTGTGTGTATATATATACATATATATATA